TTATCATACAAATTGCATAACATACACAATGAAATCAAGTTTACAGCCGGTAAAGTAGATTGTTTTTAAATCGGTGCCGTCCTGAAAGTGTTAAAACTAAACCATTCCATACAATTTTTATTTGCATTTAAATAGTTGTCACCTACTTACAAATACGCACAAATTACATGATAAATATCATTTGTCGAAAGCCCGGTAGTGATAATTTTTTACAATCATCTTTATCGACAACTCGAATGCCGATGCTAATTGATGATATTATCATATGCATTTTGCGAAAGTAGATTTCGCGAGCAAGGTGCCTGACCCCGATTCCTGTAATTAGCCGGCGTGTAACAAGCGAAATCACTAAAATCACTTGTAAACATAGTACTTATCGAATTTATAGAATGAAATGTTTAATTTTAGTGAAATTTTAATATGGTGCTTAAAATACTCGAAACTCGTATTGGATGAACTTTCTTTAAGATACAGAAACTGTAATTAACTCCGCATATATATATCAACAGATAAAAACTTATATCATTATGATTAAGAATACTCAAAATCGTACGAAAAAAACACCTTAGGTTAAATTAAACTGTAATTAAATAAAAAAAAATGCATTAATTGGAAATGATTATGGTTTTTTTGTTGATTTTTGAATAGCAATTAGAACTTAAGAGTACTATGACCAGTTAGGCTAAATTGACTTAGGGGGCAGTTCGACAAAAATTTACAAATAATCTCGTAGAGTGAGGAAAAGGTCTAGTAAAATATAACGTGTATAAATTTTAAAATAATTCGAGATTTTTCAAAGATGTTTTGAAAAATAACATTTTTTTCTAGGTACTGAAAATACACGGTGATGGTTTGCCGGGGGAGGGAGAGTAATCTTAAATATCACCAAGTATCATCAAGGGGGAGGAAAAGGTCCAAAAATCCTTAAAAAGCGATCATGTGATTAATGGGCCCCCTTAGTACTACATCGGTTCTACAGATGGCAACCCAAACAGTTAACTAATATCTGTATGTGATACTTAATTATTACAATTTTTGCCCTATGACAAATATTTTAACACTTACGGGACGGCACCGATTCCAAAACAATCTACTGTACCGGCTGTAGACTTGATTTCATTGGGTATGTTATGCAATTTGTTTGATAAAAATTTGAGGTCATTGAAGGACATACATTTATAATATTAATTTATTTTTGACCATTTTATAAAGAATGGTGACGTTCGAAACAATTTCAAAAATGCATAGCTGGTTGATTTTGACATGTTTTACAATAAAATGTTGTTTGTCGCCTTCCGCCTGGTGCTTTTCTGTCAGAACAATACAATCCCTTTTTCTTTCTCTCGCATTTAGAATATGCCACTGATTAGTCAGTATATTTGTTCATTTTTTTGCAGTCATAATGGTTTGTTTTTTCTATTATATTGTCTAATAATTCATTTGTAGAACATAAAGTAAAATAATCTATTGGATGTCTCATATTGCTTGGTATTTGTAGTCGAGGTGTTTGTTGATGTATGTCAAACTCGATTATTGAAGGAGAATTGGCACATTCGTTAATGTCTTTCCACTCTTCTTCGAATTGTCAAACTTCTTTTTATTGGTTGGATAATATCATCATCACATTCATCACTATCTTCGGTGCGAATAGTAATTTCGTAAAAATTGTCTGTATGAATGTCTATTTGAAACTCATCTTCACTACTGCTTGATCAACAAAATTTACCAGTCGTTTTGCCATGTTTAAAAATGCTCGGTCGTTTCAAATATTAAAAGAAGACTATAGAGCAAAGAAAAAGGCTAAAAATACTTCTAAAATAACTTAAAATTATTTTCAAAATACAACACTGTTTATCACTGCTATATGTATGTAATTTATTCAACATTTCGATGCAAACTGAGTCATTGTTTATAAAATAGCCTGTGCCTCACAGAGAATGTTTGTCCACTCAGGTGGACAGCCGTCCCCAAAGAGTTAGTAATGCAGCAATGCAGGATGAGAACTATTTGCACTTGGTAACATATTGCTATCTATATTTCGGAATAAAAAGCTTTGTCACTACTGCTTGACAACAGGCTGCTCGAATCGAGATCAAACCTAGGACCTGTGACCCAAGTCCAATCGTTCTAGCCCCCAACCCTACGTAATATTATCACTGGTAACTGTGTCTTCCGCAAGACCGACGTTGGTTATGTCATTTCATTATTTATCGTAAATATTTAAAACGAATTAATCCCGACATTAAATCTCGTTTAATACTAGCAGTCGTTAGTATGTAAACAACGTCCTACCCTTTCTGCGCTGCCTGTCAAATACAGCAGCGGCGTAATTCCATTCACGTAAACGCATTAGAATAATAACATGCAGCATTACTATGCCACTGCCGGAATGGCAATTTTAACTTTTCCACTGCAATAGGCGTTATATTAATATTTTATATGGAGGTTTCATATTAACCAGGTCTAAAATAACATTGCGAAGTTATATGTCAAACGCAGGTGCCAAATGCTGATCGGCACTCATGAAGTGTCTCATGGACATCACTGGAGATCCTGGTATATTTAATTACATAATTTTTTCTTTAGTAAGTATTTTATATGTGCTTATTTATCTATTTATTATTTCTTTTTATATGTAATTTTGGTTGCTATTTATGAATAAGAAAAATGATTAAATTGATCTGAATTTTTCTATTGATATATTTAGACAACATTAATTTATAGTACAGTACACATAACAGTACCTAGTTATATGATCGCTATATGTCAAGCATCGTTGTCAAATTTGATCGGTAATTTTTTCACCTATTGGAGTGATTTTGATATTTAATTATTTCATGTATATTCATTAAGTTATTTTTCCATTTGTTCATGATATATTTTATTTTATTATATTTCGTAGTTAAGTTGTAGCTGAAAAGCACATAGTATTATATGAAATTTTCATTGCTTTTTTTAAAGAAAAAGAGTAGGTTGTATTGATAGCAACATTTCTATTAATACATTTTAAATTAAAAAAAATGTTATACCTGCACTTTTTATATTGGAAAAATTATTTCGGCAGTACTACTAAACAATATTCTATTGTAACACTTATAAATAGTTCAGTATTTATTGGTAATTCAATCTGTCTACGTCAATGTTCATATAAGTGCACTATAATAATTATTGTTGCATTGAAAAAGGTAATTAATGGCGAACAATATTACATTATACCTATAATATATATATATATATATATATATATATATATATATAATAATAATAAATTATAATAAGGAAGTAAACAATATAATATGTTTAAAAACTTAATTGATTGCAGGGATTAAATATATTATCCAAGATAAGACATCGATAAATCATTTTGTCTCAACAGTGTGAATAAAAGTGAAAAAACTACACGTGTTTTGCTTATATTGATTTGATAAAATTATTCTTTATTAAGACATTGTCTATAATTAATTTTAATCGCTTTGTTTATTTTTTTGCAAATCATCGATTTACCTATTCAATTATTTGTCGAAAAGAGTAGAAATTCCCATACAAAAAGAATTATTCAGAAACAGAAAAACTCAATGATAATAATTTCTGATAAAATCTTGATTGAAATATTTTTATTTAATTTCGACCTATTAGATAGATACAAGGAATATACGCGTATTTATTTCAAATGGAAGTTCAATAATCATAACTATGATATGATAAAATTTGATTTGATTTGAAAAAGATAAAATACAAATGCGTTAAATTTGATGGAGCAATAGTATAAATTTAAAATAAGGTGATGCATAGAAAAAAATATTTTTTATTTTTTTGTTTCTTTATTAATTGAAAAACAGTAATGAAAATTACATATAATTCTCTAAGCTATTCTGCTATGATTTAACAATGAAAAAATATATAATAATAGTATGTATAAAAGATCATTCAGAAATTGTAGGAACTGAAAACGCAGATGAATTAGCCAAAGGTGCTGCATTAAACGGAAATCAACATAATGAAGATTTGAATAAAAACCTGAAAAAATAGAGCACTGATAGCAAAAATCATCAATATTTAAAAATATACACTATATAGTGTACTATAAATTTTGTTAAAGAAGGGTGGATTTTTTCAATTTAAGGATGAAAATAGAAACTTTATGACTACAATAAATAGAATGAGATGTAACCATGAATATTTAATAAAAATGAATATCAATAAATATTTAATAAAAATGATAGAATCAAAAATAATAGAATGTGGGAACTTTAGAACACATAATTTGATTATGCTCTAGATTTCAAGAAAAGGAAATCATTTATTGTATGAATTATACAGAGAAATAAATTTAGTTAAACCATTTAATTTAATTTCAAATATTGAACATTATAGCATAATATACAGATTTTTAGGTATGTGTAAAATTAGATTTCAAATTATGTAAACTATGTAAATGGTTAGTTTGTATGTAAGAGGTGAAATATATGTAATAAGAGATGCATTTAGTGAAACTTTATGAAATTATGTAATAATCTAAATACAAATCAAAATATTTAATTTTGCTCATAATTTTTATGTGGCAGAGTAAATTTAACTCATCAAGAATATTGCAATATATTCAAATTCTCAGTCAGGAGCATTACCATTATTATTTGTATAATCAGGAACAGTATCACATTATTTCCTAAATCTTCTTGAATATTAGTGTCAATTATTAAAAATTGAATTTGAAAATGAACAGGACATACCTATAGAGGCAAATATTTTTGCGAATTTTTATGTTTTATAAATATAACTCTCAACTTTTTTTATAAACATAATTGAAAAAGAAGTCGAATAGATTTGCTTCAGTTTTAATTTATTTAGTAATTTGTGTTGACTTTTAGTAACAATAATTAAAAATGAATTTGCAAATATACAAAAATATTTTTGCAAATAGACATGCCTTATATCGTACATAATTTTACCAAAACATTCAAATAAATTCGCTTAATATTCTGAGTTGATCCAGTACGCACCTTAACATCCCTCGTTGTCTGTAAATAATACACGATGACAAACATCCAGGCCATTGAGAACAGCAGCACGATTTTGACGTTCCGACGCATGGTTCCTCGAAAAATTTTCACTTTGGAAACGTCACAAATTTTCACTATAATAATCAATCAAAAAACTAATTAAACTTTTTTTATTAGTAACAGTAACAAACTTTTTTAAATAATTTCTTTAATCAACACAACACTATCTATAAACACTTCAGAAAACGACATAGGACCGATCAGCAACGCACGATAACCTATCACGGACTAACAACAACGGAACGGACATCATTCTATTTCGGCGGAAAACAGACTAGCACGCATTTTACATTCACTTTGGGAGTCGCCACGGTATTTTCAGGTTATGTTGCGCTTTGGCAGAAAGCGGAGTGGGTCTCCGACTGGCGGTCGGGGCCTGGCGGTGAGGCGAACTGACGACCGCGCAGTGGTGCTGCTGATGGACCTCTCGCTCTCTCGACAGAGTGAGATAGGTTACGGACGGTATGGGGACCAATTCACACTTGATGTTTGTTTTGAGCAAATTGAGATTGTGCTAGGTTCTGTAAGAATTATAGAATCATAAACTGATAAATACAGTTTGTTATCTTTATGATTTATTCAAAAAAATACTCTGAATTAAGTTTTATATAAACGTAGGAAATATTTTGAAACTAACTTTCGATTGCCTATCATTGTATATATATATATATATATATATATATATATATATATATATATATATATATATATATATATGTTACGGTAAATGTGAATATTTCGGTGAATGTACACATTTACCGGCTCATTTGGCGAATGTGAGTTCAACTCACGCACGTGCGGGTGAAATTCTAATTCATTTATTTATATTTATATTTATATTTATATTTTATATTTATATTTTATATTTATATTTATATTATTTATTTTAGTCATATGCATATTAATATCCATTATTTATTATTCACTATTAACTATTAACTATTTATCAATTAATAATATATCTAATAACTATTAACTATAAACTATTAACTATTTAACTATTAACTATTACCTATTAAACTATTCTTAATTCACTATTAAATATTTACTATTCACTGTTTGCTATTATCTATTTACTATTAACTATTCACTATTCACTATTCACTATTTACTATTATCTATTCAGTTATCACTATTCACTATTCACTATTAACTATTCAGTTATCACTATTCACTATTTACTATTAACTATTAACTATTCAGTTATCACTCTTCACTATTTACTATTTTACTATTTAACTATTTACCTATTAACTATTCATTATTCACTATTTAACTATTCAGTTATCACTATTAACTATTCACTATTTACTATTAATATATTTAACTATTATCTGTTAAACTATTTAGTTATCACTATTCACTATTAACTATTAACTATTTACTATTTAACTATTATCTGTTAAACTATTTAGTTATCACTATTCATTATTAACTATTTACTATTGACTATTCACCATTAACTATTTAACTATTTACTATTTAACTATTTTTCTTAAACTATTAAATATTTACCTATAACTATTGAACTATTAACTATTCACTATTTACTATTTAATATTAATTATTCATTATACACTATATTACTACTTTACTATTCAACTATTTACTGTTAACTATTAACTGATTATTTATATACAATGAACTGAACTATTTAGTGCGCATGCGCCAAATACGCAAGATGTTCATGAGACCGATCCAAGTACGCACGTACACCATTATTTTATTTTGTTGATTGTTTGAAAACTCCACATTTACCTATCGTTTTGGGAAATGTGCACATTCACTGGTTAATGTGCACATTCACCAAGAGTGCACATTTACCGTAACATATATATATATATATATATATATATATATATATATACATATATATACATATATATATACACATATAAATAAACATATATAAGTATATACACATACACATACAATTGTTATGTTTCTGTTTTAACACTTTCGACTCGGGAGGCGGACTGCCAGTCGGTACGCTGCGCTCGGAATATTATAGTGCTATACTTATCTCTCAACTCGGAATTTTTTTTTGTATCGGATTTTTTCAAAATGTGGTTATATTGCTTTTAAAAATTGTTATTATGATAATAAAATAGAAAATTTTGAAAATTTAAAAAAATTGCACTCAAAACCATGCTATATTGTTTAAAAAATCATTTCTGCACAGATCTTTATTAGAATTATGGGGATCATGAGCTACTAAATTAATTTTGTTATATATTTATTTATAAAATTAATAAATCAATCAATAAATGAATGTAATAGTAAATTAATTTTTAAAAAATAAAAAAAATTAAATGTAAGTTTAGTTTGCGACGAGTCGTCGCCGGAGCGGCGGCATCCGAGCTTAACGGTAAGACATATCATGCCGCCGGAGTGGCGGCATCCGAGCGCAACGGTAAAATGGCTATGCCGCCGGAGCGGCGGCATCCGAGTCGAAAGGGTTAAAATAATAGTTGCATTTGCATTGATTAAAGTTCTCACGCTTAAAACGTTAACCGCCACGATAATATAAAAAAAAACTACATAGACCATGGTAACTTTATTAGATAGGTCTGCTAAAAGTGTGTATAGGAAACATTCACATATTGGACGTGTTATTGCAACGATCCGACGTTTTACACATAAAATGGAACTTCTCTCAAGTTTTATTATGACACATCACAAAGGTGCAGTTAAAATAATATTAGTTTTTTTGACGTTTTTGCAATTTCTAGATTAGGTTTTATATTAAAACTTCTGATTGCTTAGCAAATGCATAGCATTTTATCAGCTTTTAGTAACAATTTATTTAAAAAAATTATTCTAAATTGTTAAAAAATTTGGGTCTATTTTGCGGCAGAATAAGCCCATTAATGAATCAAATATAAAACATATTTTGCCAAAATTTTTATAAAAATATTACTTTTCATGTCGCACATATATGACTAACATTCAAACAATTTATTTAAACAATTATTCTAAGTTCGTAAGAAAAGTCTATTGTGCGGCAGAATTAGCCCATTAATGAATCAAATAAAGAACATATTTTCGCCAAAACACTTTTTTTTGTTATTGGTCAAGCCAGTTATAATTACAGCATTTTAACTTCTAAATCATTAAGAATTTATCTATGGATTTTACAACCATAATTAATATGACTTATAACTATAATTAAAACAACAAATATTTCTGTTGTGAACAAGAAATGAGAATACGAGAATGCACTTTAGAAAATTTTTAGTTGTGTTAAAAATAATAAGAAAATCTACATACCAACCAAAATTGATTAGGAAAAATTATTGGGACCAATATCACAGCACCAATAAACAAGGAAAACAACTAGAACTAGACTATAATATTACCTTTTTCTCTTACGGCATGAACCATATGGTGTGAAAACGCCTCTACACAGCCCCTCATCCCCAAAGCATTTCAGTTTCATTTCAAACAGAACAATGTTACTGCATTTCATATTACTGTGCTCTTCACTTCCTAGTTTACTGCATATAACACACGAGCGAGAAAGAGACTAAGGTATGGCGGTGGCGGTCACATAACTAAGCCGGTCGATAGTCCCCCATCTGTACTGAACTGTATTAGATGGAGCCACGAATTTATCTAGAAACATACCGTTTAGCAAATACAGTAGAATATGACTGATCCGACACTTCCAACAATCCGACACCACCAACGATCGAAGCGCTGGACAATTTTGGCGAATTTAGCTAGAAATTTTTTCGCTATTTCCAATATCTGACACCCTCTGGTTTTCAATAGTGTCGGATTATCAAGTATCTACTATATTTGCAAATAACCTGTCTGATTCTCCCAATTTAATAAAAAAAAAAAAAAATCTGCTAATATTGGCAAAGATAAGCTCCCAATTTCTTCAATAATCGAAGGCGAACATTTTGAGGTATCTTTACATTAGCGAGATCCATTCAAAAGGCTTCAATTCGGGCTTAAGCCCGACAGGTATAGGATATGCCAGGATATCCTTTATCCATAAAAAACTATCATCAGAATCAAAGAAAAAAATCAATAATGTATTTCAAAGAATAGCACCGGCCGATCTCTACCAAAAACTAATGAACACGACTCGGAACATAAAAAGGAGTTATTGCTGGATTTATAAAATCGGTTTAAGATTTTTGGCTAATACATGGACGAAAGGTTTTATACCTCTCCTCCAATCATAAAGAAACTTATAATTAGTCATTATCGACATGGCTGTTGAAATTTTGAAATTGGTTCAAACATTTTCCCGATACCTTCGATGGAAGATCAAAAATAGGTTCACATACTCATATAGTTATTCTAAATTTGGTCTCAAAGTATTCAGAATGACTTGAACGCCTAGAAAACATAACATTAGTAAACTTTTTCTACTGCTTTAAAACGCTGTTTAACTAATTATTACAAAGATTGGAGTAATCTATCCTTAGTAGATTTTTCATTTCTTCTCCGATGCCTGCAGCAGGAATCATTCAACATATAGACAAAATGGTGCACTTTTCGTTGCAGAAAAATTCTTCTTGTCAGCAAACTTCCTCAAACTTTTGTTAAATTGGTCCATTTTGTCGTAAATTTAAAAAAAATGAATAGTAAAATAATTATTTCAATTGCAATATTATTCATTATAAAATTTACATTATGTTCAATCATTTCGTTTTTATGATGATATTATTAAATAACTCCACATTTTATCGATATATTCTAATAATTGTGATTTGATTGATAAATATATGAAACAACAATTTTAATACATTAAAATTAATATATGATTATTAGATCATTTGGTATAAACAGTATATTTATCATATTCATTTCAATAAAAAAATCACCGCACATATTTAATATAAATATTCAATCAATAATAATAAATGATTGTAGAATATACTATTAAATAACTTTACAGTTGAAGAATAAAACTATTATTTTGCATTAAATTATGTTCGTAAAATATATTATGTGATGTGGAACTAATCAATATAAATTAAATAAGCTTATTAATAATATTTCGAAAAATTATTTTTGTATAAAATTAACTTACAAATAAGTATGATACATGGAACACTAACAAAATAGATGATAATTGATGTTGATATCCAAAGTGTTTATCATATTTAAAATTCGTTTTGTGATGTCAAAATTTT